TATGTGTGTGTGTGTGTGTGTGCGTGTGTGTGTGTGCGTGTGTGTGTGTGTGTGTGTGTGCGTGTGTGTATGCTGGCATTGGGGCTTGCACTTAGGGCCTGGTGGTTATCCCTGAGCTTTTTAAGGCTGGTCCTCTACCCCTGGAGCATAGCTCTGTTTCTGGTCTTTTGGTGATTAGAGACAATCACAGACAATCAGCCCTGCTTCTGCTGGCTTTAAACTGCAAATCTCAGATCTCAGCGCCACTAGTGCTTGGCTCTATTTTTGTAAATTTTCTTTGAGTAATTGAAATGGATATATATTCCCTATAAGTCATTACTTAATTAAATTTTCACCTCTGCCTTGTTAATTGTTTTCATCTTCTGTGTTGCCTTGTTAATATTTTCCCATGGTGGAAGGTGTGTTTGGGGGACTGTCTGCCGTGGTCCTGCCCGCCCGCCTGCCTTTGCTGGGCACCCTCAGATTGAGGCCCTCTCTGCCTCTTACCAGTCCCTCTGTGGGCTGCGGCTGATTGTTACTGTGTGCTGTGAAAGTGGGAATTCCCCATGCACAGGGCATGTGTCCTCCAGGACTGGGAGCTTGTGCTTGCTCTTCCTCTGCGTTATGTCTGGGAACAAAGCGCTCTTTTCCAGAGGGAGCAGTGTCTTCCCCAGCGTCTGCCCACAGCAGCAGGCTAAATCTCTTTGCAGGGGAGGAGGGAGTGGGGACCCTGTCCCAGACCCCGCAGTTAGGCAGTAGGGTGGGAGGGAAGAGGACCGAGAAGCCCTGCTGGTCAGGTTTGGCTCCTTGCGAATGCCAGCCTCTCACCGGGAGAGGGGAGGGGAGAGCGGGACACGGTCAGTGACCCCCCCCCCCCCCGCACACTCACTGCACGGTGCTGTCCAGTGTTTGGCTGGGTTCTTCCTTGGTAAAGTTTTCATGCTTGTAGAGAAGCACGTGGAGGAGAGGCTGGCGCAACCACCGCCAGCTGCCCAGCGCTGTCCTCAGCGCTGCCTGCGCCTGCCCCGGGGTTTTATTATAGTTTTTCAAAAGGTTCCCAGGAACCTCACCGTTTGGTTTATGTTATACTACCACTCCATTATACCGTGTAGCTCACCCTTCCTGACTCGAACACATGCGTTATGAGGTTTGGAGTCCACCTGGCTGCGGGAAGCCAGCCAGAGCTCGGCAGAGAAGCTAGGAGAGTACGCCACACCCCCGCTGCGTGCCCCCCTCTTCTGTTCCGTTTTCTAGGCATTCTTCATGTATCCTGGAAAGACTGGGCGAGAAAGAGAAAGGGAGAAGGAGGAGGGGCAAAGTCATCCTTGATAGGTGGTCATCAAAGGAGACTCTCGGGAGAGGAGCACAAAGGCACGGTGGCCGTGTGCATCTGACACATGAAATGATACTGAAACAAACGCCAGGAAACGGAAATGAGGCATTTTTTCTTCGTTGCTGTTTTTCATTTCTTTTCTTTTTGTCTTGTTTGTATCTCTCTCTTTGGGAGAGTAAGGAGGGACACAGAAATGGAGGGACAAAGGTGAACAAAAGCAGCAGTGGTACTCACTAGACACTATGTTGAAAACGAACTATACAACTTGCGGGTGGGGATGGGAGGGAAAAACTGAGAAAGTGTGAGGGAAGCGGTGACATTGTCCAAAAAGAAATGCACTCTTTCCTTGGCTTATGAAAGTAACCACTCTGTATACCTCCTTTATAATAATTAAAGAATTGAAAAAAGAAAAGTGGTCATGTTTTGGTACCCTAATAGGCTAAAGGCTGTCAGACGAAGTAGTAGTATATCTCTAGTCACAGTGTATTTGGTCATCACCTACTTGGTCACTGTGTTTGGTCATAGTGTGTTTGTTTAGTCATAGAGTGTTCGATCATACTGTATTTAGTCATAGAGCGTTCATAGAGTAGTCAAAGCATGTTTGATCATAGGGCATTTGATCATAGCATGTATGGTCATAGAATGTCTCTCTGGTTATAGGATGTTTGGTCATAGAGTATTTGTTCATGGAGTGTTTGGTCATAGAGTGTTCATGGAGTATTTGTTCATGGAGTGATTGGTCATAGAGTGTTTGTTCATGGAGTGTTGAGTTGTAGATTATTTGGTCATAGAATATTTGTTCTTGGAGTATTTGGTCATAGAATATTTGGTCACAGAGTATTTGTTCAAGGAGTTTTTGGTCATAGAGTATTTGTTCATGGAGTGTTTGGTTATAGAGTATTTGTTCGTGGAGTGTTTGGTCATAGAGTGTTTGTTCATGGAGTGTTTGGTCATAGAGTGTATTGTCATAGAATGTTTGTCATGGAGTATTCTTTAGTATTTGGTCATGGAGTATTCATTCATGGAGTGTTTCATCATAGAGTGTTTGGTCATGGAGTGTTTGGTCATAGAGTGTTTGTTCATGGAGTATTTGTTCATGCAGTGTTTGGTCATAGAGTATTTGGTCATGGAGTATTTGTTCATGGAGTGTTTGGTCATAGAGTATTTGCTCATGGAGTGTTTGGTCATGAAGTGTTCAGTCATAGAATATTTGTTCATGGTGTGTTTGGTTATAGAGTATTTGTTCATGGTGTGTTTGGTTATAGAGTATTTGGTCATGGAGTGTTTGGTCATACAGTATTTGGTCATAGAGTGTTTGGTCATGGAATATTTGTTCGTAGAGTGTTTGCTCATAGAGTGTTTGTTCATGGAGTGTTTGCTCATAGAGTATTTGTTCATGGAGTTTTGTCATAGAGTATTTGTTCATGGAGGGTTCGGTCATAGAGTGTTTGGTCATGGAGTATTTGTTCATGGAGGGTTTGTTCATGGAGTATTTGTTCATGGAGTATTTGGTCTTAGAATGTTTGGTCATAGAGTGTTTGTTCTTGGAGTATTTGGTCATAGAGTATTTGTTCATAGAGTGTTTGGTCATAAAGTGTTCATGGAAGGTTTGGTCATAGAGTATTTGGTCATACAGTATTTGTTCATGGAGTGTTTGGTCATGAGTGTTTGTTCATGGAATGTTTGGTCATAGAGTATTCCTGGAGTATTTGTTCATGGAGTGTTTGGTTGTGGAGTATTTGGTCATGGAGTGCTGAGCCGCAGTATAGTTAGTTGATGGTTGAGTCTTTGGTCATGGTGTGTTTTATGGCTGTTTTGCTTCTCACTTGAATCTCACTGCTTGCCGTTAAGACTCCAATCTACCCTTTCTGCCTCCCTGTGCTCCTCTGCTGGCCCCTTCATGCTGGCGAATGCACTTGAGTGTGTGTTTTCAGCTATGGCCACATACGGCATGGCTGGAATCTTACTGAGGAAAAGCTGCCAAAGTGACCTCACATCTGACGCCATCATGTCGGGCTGAGTTTGTTGATGGTTGTAGGGCTATTTCTTCTCTGTATCAAATCTGAAAGACTGTGTTATGATTCTATTCCTGTAATTCAGATATTAGATGGGAATATTCAGCAAAATTGAAGTGCTTTGAATCTTTATAATCTACCTGAGACTTTTAAAATGTGGTATGAAAGATGACATGATTTATCGAGAAATATGAATATATTTATATTCTTTTTGTAGTTAGCTGTTGTAGGTCTGAGATATCAGTATAAATATTTAAATTTAGGCCTGGGAAGGTGGCTCAGTGGTAGAGTGCTTGCCTTGCATGCATGAGGCCCTGGGTTCGATTCCTCAGCACCACATAAGCAGAAAAAAAAAATCCGGAAGTGGCGCTGTGGCTCTATTGGTAGAGCGCTTAGCCTTGAGCTGAAGAGCTGAGGGACGGCGCCCAGGCCCAGAGTTCAGGCCCCATGACCGGACCCCCCCCAAAAAAAATTTAAATTTAGGTACAGAAAAATATCATCTGGTGAGTTTTCAGTGTAAGGAAATTTTTGTTTTTGCCTTGTTGAACGGGTTTCCAGTTTTAAGTCTGGCTTCTAAGTTACAGTGAGGTCAGAATTTAAACTTTAAAACTGCGTATGATTATTTCTTGCTACATTCCAGTCTCAGGAATTAATAAAATTTCTAATAAGAAAAGGAATTATGCATCATTTCTAGAATGTCCCTGGAGTTACTGGATTCCAGTAACAGTTCTTCAGCTGCACGCTAGAGGGCTCTCGAGGCTGAGCTGAGCCTGGAGCCCACCCTGAGGTTTCGGATGCTTTGTGCCTGATTGGTGGGGTAGGGGAGGAGGGGCACCCGGTCGGGCTTTGTGCCTGGTTGGGGGTGGTGGTGGAAGAGGAGGGGCACCCTGTCAGGATTAGGGCTACAGTGCTAGAGTAGCCACTTATCTTAAGTAGAAGTTTGGGGATCTGCTTTGTTTGTGCAAAGTGTTAGAAAGGTGATTGTTAAAAATGGTTCAGTCAAATGTCTGTATAGATAATAGACTTTAATCCAAGTTTAAATTTTTTTGTGTGCTGGTCCTGGGGTTTGGACTCGGGGCCTGGGCGCTGCCCCTGATGTTTTTCCCTCAAGGCTAGCACTCTACCACTTGAGCCACAGGGCCACTTCCGGCTTTGTGTGTGTGAGCCACTGGTGCTCAGCTTTAGTCTAAATTTTATCGTATTTTTCATGCTTTGAAAAATCAGTCTAGTCAAGTGTTGATGGCTCCTAGCTAGTCAGGAGGCTGAGATCTGAGGATGATGATTGTAAAGCCCAGGTGGAAAAATTGACGAGACTTTTATCTCCAGTTAATTACCAAAAAAGCCAGAAGTGGATCCGTGACTCAAGTGGTAGGGTGCTAGCTTTGAGCCAAAAAGCTCAGGGACAGTACTCAGGTCCTGAGTTCAAGCTCCAAGAACAGCACCAAAAACCAACCCCTCCCCCAAACCCCCCCCCCCCTGCCAATCCCAAACATTATCAACTGTCAGCATTTAGTGTTTTTCCCAGTAAACATCAATGGACATGTACTAAACATAATATAAATTTAATAAGTATGAACACAAATTTCTTTCCCTCCCTAAGTATTACTTGTGCTTTCATAGAGACAAAAGCATGAGTACAATCAACTTGAAGGTCTGTGTGTTGCGTCTTTCAGGGGATCCGAGCCCGTGTTCTGGAGACGCTGGTCATGCTGCTGCTGCTCGCGCTGCTGACCCTGGGGATGGTGTGGGTCGCATCGGCGCTCCTCGACCAGGACGCGGCCAGCATGGAGTCCTTGTACGGTACGGGCGTCTGGGCTGCACCAGACACGAGGAGCACCTGAAAGATCCTCATGTAGTCAACCTTCTAGGCTAAGTGAAGCCTTTAGGTACACTTAAGAAAAGAAACAAAGGCAGGCTCGCCTGTAATCCCAGCTACTCAGGAGGCGGAGATCTGAGCATCACAGTTGGAAGCCAGCCAGGGCAGAAACATCCCCACAAGACTCTGTTCTCCAGTTAACTACTCAAAAACTAGAAGTGGCGCTGTGGCTCAAGTGGTAGAGCGCTCGCCTTGAGTTGAAGAGCTGAGGGACAGCACCCAGGCCCCGAGTCCAAGCCCTGCAACCAACAAAAGAAAAGAAAAGAGCTGCTGGAACAGCACACATTTTTCTCAGTCAAATAATTAGTGTTATTCTTCAAATTCTATGGAAGCCTTTTTTCTCCTCCTTTGAAAGAGATTTTACAAATGAGTATTTTCTATTTATCCCACAATCTAGAAATTTTATAGTTTAGTACAGTGTTTATTATATGTTTAAATCTAGTTTATTAAGATAAAACATGGCTGAAATGTGCAACATTTTAGGTTTATTAAAATGCATTTACATTTTTTCATAGATCTCTGGGAGTTCTACCTACCCTATTTATATTCCTGTATATCATTGATGGGATGTTTGTTACTTCTCTGTAAGTATTTTTCTGACTTACTATTGATAGAAAGTATGTATTCTGAAAAGTTATGCGATGTTTTTTCCAAGATTTCTTGACCATTGTCAATATCACTGAGTTGGCTCTAGCTTTTGTTACTATGCAGGATAAATAATCAGACCCTTGAAATAATCAGTTTTGAGTTTCTCCCAGGACAGCCTTATCCCACTGGATTGTAGACACACACACACAGGCACACAGACACAGACACACACACACTCAGTGATTACATGTGCTCTTCTCCTTTTCCCTTCCCCATTATAGCTTCTTGTCCTTCCCCCATTGTATGTTTTTAAACAGAAACAGAACAGTTCTGTGTGGTGAATTGGTGATTTTTCTTTTAAAATCTGTTTGGTTTTACTTCAGGTGTCACGTCTTAACTCAGAGAGATTGTAAGTTGTTATGAGTAGCTCCAAAGGATTCATGGCTGGAGTTGATACTTACACCGTTTCCTGATTTCTCCAGTCCGCTAGGATATGGAATTTAATGTCCTCCCCCCCCCCCACGTGACTAGGGTAGTAAGGCCCCTCTTCTCCCCTGTTGCCACTTTATTGCTGAGTTGAAGAATGCTCCGACAAAGCACGGAATGGGAGGCAGGGGTGGGTTTAGAGTGTATTTAGTCTCTGTGATAGCAGGCTGCCTCCAGGAGTCCTGGGCTGCTGGTCATCCTCTCTTTCCTCTCCGCAGTGTGCACACCGGTTGGTCTGTCCCGCATGTTCACCGTGATGGGGCAGTTGCTGGTGAAGCCAACCGTAAGTATTTCTTTAGAAATTAATTAGTGTATTTGATAAAGGTGTTTATAAAATTACTTAGAAACATCCTATATATTGTGAATTACCATTTAGAAACAGAATGAGCAGCTTTTTGCCGGCTTATTGCTTAAATAATAGTGCTTAAACTTCACTGCTGTTTTTATGTTGTCATGGACTGTCTCACCAGCACGTTTTACTGAGTGCATTTTGGCACTGCTGGGGTGGTGACGAGGCCTCGTGCTCATGCTGCAGGCGCCTTATCACCCGAGCCTTTCTCTAGTCTGCCTGGCCCGGCCTAGTGCTGGAGGTCTTGCTGTGGAGCCAGTGCCTCCCATGTTGCAGAGGATGACAGACAAAAATACGCACCAGGCTGTTGAGTGAGACAGGCTGGGAATCCTTTATGTAAGGCTGGCCTCGATGCATAGCCTGGGCCTGGCTTTCCCAGTAGCTAGGATCACGGCCTTGAGCACCAGCCGGCTACATTATTATCATTATTTAAGAACTATTTCTTTTCCTTCCTTCCTTCCTTCCTTCCTTCCTTCCTTCCTTCCTTCCTTCCTTCCTTCCTTCCTTCCTTCCTTCCTTCCT